TGTCTGTTCAGTCCATGATTTTTAGTGTCTAGCAGAGTTATGAATTTAAGCTCCCAGGCTCGTTGTTTGAAAGTGTTGTGCAGGCTTCCTTTGAGGATGATTCATAGATTCAAGGACTGGAAGGGACCTCGAGAGGTCATCGAGTCTAGTCCCCTGCCCCCAGGGCAGGACCAAATACTGTCTAGACCATCCCTGATAGACATTTCTCTAACCTACTCTTAAATATCTCCAGAGATGGAGATTCCACAACCTCCCTAGGCAATTTATTCCAGGGGTTTACCACCCTGACAGTTAGGAACTTTTTCCTAATGTCCAACCTAAACCTCCCTTGCTGCAGTTTAAGCCCATTGCTTCCTGTTCTATCCTTAGAGGCTAAGGTGAACAAGTTTTCTCCCTCATCCTTATGACACCCTTCTAGATACCTGAAAACTGCTATCATGTTCCCTCTCAGTCTTCTCTTTTCCAAACTAAACAAACCCAATTCTTTCAGCCTTCCTTCATAGGTCATGTTCTCAAGACCTCTAATCATTCTTGTTGCTCTTCTCTGGACCTTCTATAATTTCTCCACATCTTTCTTGAAATGCGGTGCCCAGAACTGGACATAATACTCCAGCTGAGGCCTAACCAGCGCAGAGTAGAGCGGAAGAATGACTTTTCGTGTCTTGATTACAACACACCTCTTAATGCATCCCAGAATCATGTTTGCTTTTTTTGCAACAGCATCACACTGTTGACTCATATTTAGCTTGTGGTCCACTATAACCGCTAGATCCCTTTCTGCCATACTCCTTCCTAGGCAGTCTCTTCCCATTCCGTATGTGTGAAACTGATGGAGTGATGAGGACCACTCTGTATCTGACCTGTGAGATGTGTTCCCCACTGGAGACAGGGTGGTTTTGTCTTGTATCATTTTCCTGTGTGAGTTCATTCAAGAGCATAGTGATTCTCTGATTTCACCCACATCATTGTTATTGGGACATTTAGTGCACTGGATGAGGTACCCCACACGTTGTGATAGGCCTGTGTAGGATCTGTGGCTCTTGAAAGGTGAGTTGTCGGGGGTGTTGATCATTGTAGCAGTGGAGATATGTAGCAGATTTTGCATCTGTTGTTCTGGCAGGATCTGGTGCTGCTTTGAGTTGGTGTGTCCTTGTCTGTGGGGACCTTGCTTCTGATGATGCCCTTGGAGAGGCTGGGGGGTTGTTTGAAGGTCAGAAGTGGGGGTTCAGGGAAGACTTGTTTCAGGATGTGGTCCCTATCGAGTATTGGTCATAGTTGTTTGATGATAGCCCGTAGGGGTTCCAGTGTAGTGTGGTAGGTAGCAACTGGTGTGCAGTCAGAGGAGGTTTTCTTTCTTTATTCAAGCATGTTCTCTCAGGGTATTTGGACAGTCAATTCCATGAAGCAATCTACTTCTCTAGTAGGATGTCCTTGTTTGGTGCAGGCAGTTTTGAGTGCGTTAAGGTGTGTATCCCAGACTGTCTCCTAGGAGCATATTCTGTGCTATATGAGTGCTGGGCTGTGGATTACAGATTATTTTGGTTGTTTGGGGTGGTTACTGGGTTTATGACGTGAGGTGTGGTGATCTGTGGGTTTCTTGTCTAGGGTTGTCTGTAGGGTTCCATTGTTGAAACTGATGGTGGTGTCCAGGAAGTTGATGCTAGTGTGGGAGTGTTCCACAGAGAGTTTAATGTCTGGCTGGGTGGGTAGTGGTTGTTGAAGTTGGGGTGGAAATCCATGAATATGGAGTCAAATCTGAAGTAGATTTGGTGAATCAGTTCTCTTCAGCGCATTGGCATTTTCAGTCTAAGGTAAGTTTTGCCGGAGCATTTGCAATTAGCTCTACTGTACATGGACATAGTGCGAGAGCCCCTGAGCCAAAGAATTTACACTCTAAATAGAAAAGACAGACAAAAGGGGGAGAACGGGCAGACGTCCTATCAGAAGATTGGGAAGTGAGACACACAGAGATTAAAGGACTAAATCCACACAGGGCTTTAGGCCCTTAAATCCAACTTCTGGGGGCCATGGAGATCCTCAAAACCTCTGCTCAGCTGCCGCCTAGCTCTGGAGCTGCTGATGTTTCCACCAGTAAAACCATTGCTAAAGACTTGCTGACAGTCTCTTGCTATCCTGTAAGCACAGCCCTGCCCAGAATAATGGTTGCACCCTTATCCTCACTCCCCTGCCATTGCCAGCAGAAGTGCATCACTTCTCAGAACTGCCCATTGCACGTCCTTCAGGGAATCCCATTTTTCTGTAACCAAGGAGAATTGGCCACCCTCTCTCTTGCCCTGCATTGGGCTGGTGGAGGGAAATAGGTCTCAAGAAGGGTTTGAATGTAAGGAATTTGGCAGGCATGTCAGGCGTACACAAGGTTCGGGTAAGAAGTCATATTGTTGGAGGGGGTTTGTCTAGACTGAAGCTTCTGGGGTTATCTGCTCACTAAACAGAGCAGAAAAGTCTTGACATGCACGATACAGCTCTACATGGGGCCTAATAAAAGAACATCCATTTAAACTCTTAACAATCAGGGGAAACTAAACGGCAGGACTGGCGAGATTCGTTTTATACATCTGCTCTTGTTTGCTGGCACATTGAACTGTTTCTCAATGAAGGTGCCATCATCTGTGTTTCTCTTTCTGCAGAAATTACCCACCTCATGGTGAATCAAACCCCAACCAGTGTCAGTGATTTAGAAGGCTCAGAACTTACCATGAATTGTACATTCAAGACAGTCAATAACCACAGCACCATGTATGTGCGATGGTATAACTATGGGACTGAGGGACTAAAGAAAGAGCTGGTGAATGACAGCGATGTGATCACAACCCTGCATTTGGACAATGGTTTTGCCTCTCTCACTTTGAAGAATGTGAATTCATCTGATACAGGAACCTATGTGTGTGAGGTGGGGATCACAGCAAGGAACCTCTCTGGGAATGGAACAGGAACCCAAGTGACCATCAAGAGTAAGTGCTGGATTTTTCTACCTGATCTTCTTGGGGAAATGGAGACGAGCAAGTGAGAACAAGAACACAAGTCTCCTGGAAGGTGTTGAGTGTCTTCAGTTCCACCTTCAATGGGAGCTGAGGGTGCTCTACGCCTGACCACAAGCACTAAAATCCTTGCAAGATAGAGCCCTGCAGGACGGTAGGACAGTATTAAGGGGGAACAATGTTTCCATTTTAGGTCCTTTACAGCCAAATGTTTCACATGGCCTCAAATTAGTCTCTGAATGTACGCTTGCCCATGTTGCATGCACACCCTTTGGTACGGTCCAAGCCTGCCTGCGTGCCTGGAATCTGGAAATTGTGAGAGATAACAGGGTAGTTAGACATGAATTCATGTCTGATTTGTGGATGGGTGAAACTGGGGCTGCTTCTTATGTAAGATCTGGTTCCCATAAGAATCCATATTGCAGGAGGCAACTTCTCCAGGCTGAACATTCAGGGTGGGGGGCTGGTTTGCTGGTGTTGCCAGGCATCATAAAGCTATGAATGGAACTAAGTGAAAGCATCACGTTAACCTCTGATAAGCAGGGAATGTTAAATGGCCAGGCTGGGAAAAGGACACAAAATACTGGAGGGGGAGACATTTATTTTAATATATTCCCAGTCAACACTGTGACTTTGGTAAAAATGGTGGTGGAAATGGAACCAGAGTGACCATCCATGGTAAATAGCAGCATTGTCCTCTCAGATCTTCACTGTATTTCCTAGGGAAGAATAAGGACTAGGAAAGGAAGAGCTAATGCCAATACTTTGCATGGGGTGATATTGATGGGACAGGAGTTGCTGGCAAACAGAAGGAGAAGGCAAAGCTATGGAGAGATTTGCAGTGTGAAGTCAGTGATTCCCGGTGGCTTTCCAGATCCTGCCCATCTTTTTTTTTCTCTGTCATCCAAGTACTTGCAACCTCCCCCCCCACACACACACACCGATGTCCCTCGCACAGCAGCACAGCGTTGCTGCCCACCAGAATTCTCGAAGCCACTGGATGATGGGTGAATCACAAAGGGTTCGGAGGTTCGGAGAAGCACCTCCAGGTTCAGAAGCTCTTCTCGCCCGTATTGAACAGTCAGTTTCACCATGACAGGCTCTCGCGTAAGAAGATTTCCAGGACTTCCCCATTTTGAGCAGGAAGGAAATGCCTCTTGGTATATTGCTGATTCTGCTTTCAGTCTTGAACAAAAACAAGACGTGTCTAGAGGACAGCCATAAAAACCCACTCACGGCAGCACCACTATTGTTAGCTGCAGTGTTTTGGACCATAACTGTAGAATACTGTCTTTTTTTTAAATGAGGGAAATCTTTTTGAACCTTAGCACAGGTTCCAGTTTGATTCTGGGTGAGGGGGTAAGCTACTCCTTATTTGATCCTAACTGATTAGCCCATTGCAAATACCATCTTCTGACAAATGAATCCAGCAGGTTGGTGTTGGTTATACTTCAAGTAGTGGTCTAGCAGCAACCCAGTTTGTCTTTTCTCCTTCGGCTGTTCTGCTGCGGGACCCCTTGGGTGGTGGTGGTGGTGGTCTAGTGACCTAGCTCACAGCATCGTCCCCTGCCCCTATCCAGCAGGACTCCTCTAGAGGTGGTAATGCCTGACCCAACCTATGTTGTCTTTCCCTAGAACTAGTGGTGATGGGAGTGTAATAACTCAACTTCCCCTGCCTCTGTAGCCCCTGTCTAGAAGGACAGTGGCGAATTAACATTTCTTTCAACAGCACTTGACCAAAGGCCAATGAGCTCTTACATTGTGTCTGGGGCTGTGGCTGGGACACTTCTCTTCTTGCTGGTGCTTGGTATCCTTTTGTGGAGATGGAGACAGAGCTCCAAAGGTAAGGTTTACTTGGACAATAAATGTAAGCAATTTCTGCATGAGGGGAGCTCATACAATGCCGATAGATTCTTTTTTGTGTCCTTCCTTTAGCTGAATAAAGAGTAAATTGGGGAATTTTTGTCAGTGAACGTACAGCAGCGGTGGTGAACTGGCAGCCCTAGTTAGTGAAGTCTCATACCTAAGCACAGATGCCGCCTGGGCAATGGTAGGACTATTCTATGTCTCTTCCCTGACCTGAGGAAGCACCTCAAGGTGTGAAAGGTGGATTCAGTCTCCACGTCTATTCCACCTTTGGCTGGATTGCCAACAAAGCCACCAATTATTGGCAATTGCTAGGGTGGGAACGTGTGGGCTGTAGATACTGCTCCACTATGAACTAACGAGACTGACAACTAACTCCTTCAGTTAAGTGACCCAAAGGTCATCAGAGAATAACCAGCTTGGCCACAACTTCATTTTTTTTCCAGAACCACTTCAAAGCAGGTCAGAGGCAGAGATGAATCAGATGGAGACGGTGAGTTGGAGAGCTTATCGTAAAAGCCTCATTTAATTTTTCTCTCGGGCATAGGGGAACTGGGTGTTGAGCATCAACTCCGGGAATACAAGGTAATAAAGAAATTGGTTCTGCTTTTACAGACTGCAGCTCCAAGAACTTCAGGGTAACAGAAAATGCAGCACTAGTCCGGAATAGGATCGGGGTGGTACGACATTTAAAAGTCAGAGGGGATCAAGAATTAATTAGCCTTAGAGCAAAGATAAAGAGACATAAATTAGTGATTGCACAGGATCTTCAGTGATAATAGAGAATGCAGCATTGGTTCTAGGCAGCGGGACTGGGAAGTTCAAGGCAGGGGGAATCTTATGCAGCTCCAGAAATCTCAAAACACTGGAGAATGCAGCATATGCTCCAGGAACTTTAGAGGTGTTTCAGAATATAGCTTCCTAAAAAGTCAGCACACTCTTTTACAGTGCCTGTGTCAATGGAAGATGGTCTAGCATTATAACAGTATGATATGGGCATGAAAAGAACAAGCAGTCTTCACTCATTTTCCTCTTGCTTTGCAGTCTTCTCCTCCACCAGCTGATCTGGTGACTTACGTTGACTTGAACTCCCACAAAAGGGACAAAAAAGCAGAGGAAGAGGTTGTTTACACGGAAGTGAAGATACGGCCAAAACAGAGAGATGACAATGACATCTACGCAAAAGTCAACCCTCGTCATCGCTAGGGGAAGAGCCAGTGGGAATTAACAGAGGAGTGACCAGCATTTCACATGTCCATGAAATGCAAATCTCCATGAAAAAATGAATTAGCTCTTAGTAAAAGATGTCCTTGAAGATCAAAGTCCTCTAGTTATGAACAGAGCAGGTAGCAGTGCAAGATTCCCTCATTTCCTGCTCCACCAACATGCCTCAACTGTGATCTGGAGAGACCAATTCTGTGGGTAAACGGAGAGTTCTGCTAACCCATATACTCTTGGCCTATGTGCTGTGATTGCAGCCAGGAAACGGGTTGTGCAGTGGACAGTGTTTCAATAGGAACTGAGTCGAGACCAGAAATTCATTTAACAAACTCACCAGTCATCAGAGGGTCCTGTGGCACCTTTAAGACTAACAGAAGTATTGGGAACATAAGCTTTCGTGGGTAAGAACCTCACTTCTTCAGATGCAAGTAATGGAAATTTCCAGAGGCAGGTATAAATCAGTATGGAGATAATGAGCCTGGCTGAAGTCATTAAGGTTTTCAACCATTTACACCAAGACTGTACATGTGCCTTACAATATCGATAAGAATGGCCAGGCTGGGTCAGATCAATGGTTCATCTCGCCCAGTATCCTGTCTTTGACCAGTGCCAGATACTTCAGAGGGAATGAACAGTACAGGGCAATTTCAAGTGATCTATCCCCTGTTGTCTAGTCCCCCCTTATGACAGTTGGGGGTTGAGAGACACCACACTGAATGACTAAGCTGTGTACAAAATACACAGCGGTTGCCCTAAACACTACATCTTACAGCAGAATTACTGCTAGTGGTTTAGGACATTACTATACAGTACTGCATCTACTTCTTACCACACCAAATACTTCCATTCATCCAGCCCATACTTCTTTAACTTGCTGGCAAGAATACTGTGGGAGACCGTATCAAGAGCTTTGCTAAAGTCAAGAAATAACACATCCACTGCTTTCCCCTCATCCACAGAGCCAGTTATCTCATCATAGAAGGCAATTAGCTTAGTCAGGGATGACTTGCCTTTGGTGAATCCATGCTGACTGTTCCTGATCACTTTCCTCTTCCTCTATATGACCTCACCTGCCTTGTCTCTGATATCCTGGGACCCACATGGCTACAACACCCCTGCATACACATGTAGGCAGAGACATCGTGTTTGTGTAGCACTCGGGTAAAAGGGGAGCACGGAGCTAAGTGTACAACTTGCTGCTGCAGCTGGGTAGGAAGAACTCGGCAGCTGCAGAGCGGCTCTTCCAGGAAGGCAGGCTCAAGTTCTCCTGTCCCGTTACACGTGCAGCGCCCTGCACCGGGAGGGCATTAAGCACAGATCCTCAAAGGGATTTAGGCACCTAATGCCCAGAGCAATCGATGGGAGTTAGACACCTACAACCTTTGAGGATCTGGGCCTGAATGCTTGAGAGCAGGCTTTGCCCGGCTGGCACAGGTTCTGCTTTGGAGTGACACGGTTGCAGTGATATTACCGCTGTAATTAAGGCTGGTTGGCTATTCACATTCTCTCTCTTACCGACATAGCTTAGGCTGTGCCCGTGGACCCATTTTGTTCCTTATCCAGCAAGTTTATGAAACTTCATTGACATTTGTTCCATTGCACTTTTCTTTGTTAGAGAACAGACGTCAACAGGCTCTGAGTGCTAAATTGCTAATATTTCCTGTGTGCAAATAAACATTAAAAAAAACCTATTGGGTTAATTTTCTGATCAGCAGATACAGTAGAAGAAGTAAAAAGAAGAAATGTTTGTGATTTCCCCTAAAGGCTTCTTTCAAGCAGTAATCTATTGGGAGTAGGAGGATGAGGATACAGGCCTCATAGGGGACTTCAGCAGGATCCACCCCGCAGGACCATGTTTTGAAAATGCCTAGGGCAAGTTGGCACCAGGGGTAACAGGTTTGTATAATTTTTGGTGGTGCCCCGAACGGGATCAAGTCCCACCCCCCCGACACTTGCTTTGTAAGCCAATATATATTTTTTAAAATAATGTAAAAATGTGAGGCCTCTGGGGTGGTACTGGGGATGAGCGGTTTGGGGTGTGGGAGGGGCTAGGGCAGAGTTGTGCGGGTGAGGGGTGCGGGGTGGGGCTGGGGGGTTCATGGTGCAGGAGGGGGCTCAGGGCTGGGGCAGAGGATTGGGGTGTGTGGGGGGGTGAGAGCTCTGGCTGGGGGTGCGGGGTGTGGGATGGGGCAGGGCCGGGGATGAGGAGTTTGGGGTGCAGGCAGGCTGCCCCTGGCTGGGGAAAAAGAGGAGGACACTCACCTCACACCACTGGGAAATCAGGGATGCCATATCTGGATGCATCTTGACACAGCAGGGAGGCCAAGGATGACATCTGCTTGTGCCAGGGGACACCGTCACACCCTGTCCAGCTGCTGGAGGAGCTCCCAAGGGAACATTGGCACTTCCCTGGGGGCTAAAGAGTTTCGGGAGGGTGTTCATTCCTGTGACAATTCACACATTAAAGAATTTTAACAGGGCAACTCCACTGGGTTAACACCTTTTTAGGCTATCTCATCATAGAAGGCAATTAGCTTAGTCAGGGATGACTTGCCTTTGGTGAATCCATGCTGACTGTTCCTGATCACTTTCCTCTTCCTCTATATGACCTCACCAGCCTTGTGTCTGATATTCTGGGACCCATGTGACTACAACCAGGGCCGGCCAGCATTTCTGCCGCCCGAAGCAAAAAAAAAAAAAAAAAAAAGCCGCGATCGGCAGCGGCAGTTCAGCGGCAGGTCCTTCGCTCCTAGAGGGAGTGAGGGACCTGCCGCCCCGAATTGCAGGTGCCGCCCCTCTCCTTTGGCTGCCCCAAACACCTGCTTGTTAAGCTGGTGCCTGGAGCCGGCACTGGCTACAACACCCCTGCATACACATGTGGGCAGAGACATCGTGTTTGTGTAGCACTCGGGTGAAAGGGGAGCACGGAGCTAAGTGTACAACTTGCTGCTGCAGCTGGGTAGGAAGAACTCGGCAGCTGCAGAGCGGCTCTTGCAGGAAGGCAGGCTCAAGTTCTCCTGTCCCATTACACGTGCAGCGCCCTGCACCAGGAGGGCATTAAGCACAGATCCTCAAAAGTATTTAGGCACCTAATGCCCAGCACAATCAATGGGAGTTAGGCACCTACAACCTTTGAGGATCTGGGCCTGACTGCTTGAGAGCAGGCTTTGCCCGGCTGGCACAGGTTCTGCTTTGGAGTGACACGGTCGCAGTGATATTACCGCTGGAATTAAGGCTGGTTGGCTATTCGCATTCTCTCTCTTACCGACAG